AATAACACATCATCGAAACCAAACCAAAAGGAAATTCCCAAATCTTAATTGCGATTGATGGTGAAGGATCTGAATCAAAAGCGTTCAAAATTGTTCTACGGGAGGTTCACAGTGGTTTTTATGAGAAGTAGATGTAAGGGGAAATTTTGTAAAAAAAATTGGAGAAAGGGTGGTGAATCGTGGTGAACACGGTCGATGCATAATTTTGATGGTGGAAGGAGATCGGGGGAGATGGGGTTTACGGTAAGGTGATGTGTGGCGATGGGAGTGGCGGAAGGATTTTAAGGGGTGGCGGTGATGGTGGTCACGTTAGCGGAGCCAGGAGGTTGAAAGAATGGTGGTTATGGGAGCGGCAGAAGAAGAAGGGTTAGGGTTTTCGGAAGTAGAGGAGATGAGAGGAAATAGAGAAAAGGAAAGGGTGTCGCAGGTGATGGTTAAGGGGTTGATGAAGGGAAGATTTGGGTGATGAGGAGGAGAGAACGAAGATGGAAAGGGTTATTCAGAGATGGTGAGAACTGGAAGGTTTTGGAGAAGAAGGAGAGAAATAGTGGGGATGAAGGTTGTTCTAGGTCCAAGGAAGGTATTGAATAAAACTTCTTAGGTCCGGTGGGTAATACCTGACTTAATAAATATGTTTTTTAAGTCAGTTAGTGAACAGAGGTGACTTAAGAAATTTAATACGAATTATATTTTTTTTCTTTAATATTTTTTAAGTCAGTTCTAAATATAATTGACCTAACAATGTTACAAATATTTACGAAATTGCCACCGTATCACTTCTTAAGTCAGGTGGCAGGTGAACTGACTTAACAGCCTATACTATAAAGTATTTTTTCTACTAGTGAATTTAGACCATATATCAAGGGGAAAATTACTTAGGTGCTCATGAGAGTACAATATTTCTCTACCATTGGGCTGCTCGAAATCAATCAAAAACTCGACTTTAAGATATATATTACCTTCAAATATTATTTTTTTTCATCTCCTTGCAACCTCCAACAACATTAGATTCCAGTTAAATTAAGCATGTGATAGAGAAAAAATATAGTTTCTAATTGGGGGTAGAGAAATGAAAAACAACACAATGAAGGATTATATCGACCTCATAACAAATTTTAAAATGAACACGCACATATTATATAAATCAACTTCAAATTAGAGAAACGCAGAAGAAAAAAATCATAAGCAAAACACATAAAACATTAAACTATAACTTACTTTCATTGTCACCAAAGGTAAGTAATAGAAAATCATAAACAAAACATACAAAAAACCCTTAAACCCTAATTCAATGTCACATAAGTTCATAAGAGCAATAAGAAATACAAAAACACTAACCCCTAAATTTTTATCACTGGGTGTCATTGATGAGAGCAAACTTTTTAGGATCTGAGGGGGCCTCAGTCTATTCATCCACCAGCTGACCATCACGGTGAACTTTGAGGAAGTCCATTCGGCTCAGATCTAGGTTAGGGTAGAGGAAGGAATTATGCTCCTTGGCCTACTCAAAGTAAATGCTAGAAGTGGACATTAGCTCATTAGTAAGCTCGAATACCTCTGTCTCCAACTTCTGTTGGCAGAGGAGGGTAGCGTCTCGAGATTCCCATAGGAATTTCTCCTCGGTGGAGATCTCCTTAGCCTAGGTCTCTCTGTACCCCAACTTCTTATCCCATGTCTCCTTGTCCTTTTGCAGGACCTTCAACAGCCTCTAACTCTTATTGTAGGTGTCCACATGCTATTGGAGCTTTGTCTCCATCTCCATCTCAGCCTTATCTTGCCTCTCCCTATCGACATCCTCCAACATCAGTTCCTTCAACAAGAGGTTATCTTACTATCTATCATGCCTACAATAACAAGATTAGGCTTTTACTAGAGATCCTGACAGTCACAAAGAAACTCCATAGAGAAAGGAGGCGAGATCTCTTGAACTGAAGGGCATCAAAACCAACACCACTCCATAATGTCGCCTTCCCAGGAGCGGGTGAGGCAACACAGGTTGTATAACCCTCCTCCAACCTATGAGCTTTCATGTTGGGTGAGCTCGAAGCTAGATCCTCAATTGGCCTTTTTCCCTTGATAACAAAACCCTCTATGTGACTCTGAGGGATATTTGTCTCTGTACGAACGACCTAGATCATTTCCCATCTTTGTCACCTTTCCTTAGTAGCAATCTTCACCATCTGATATGTAAAACAATACACAGAAGTCATAGATACTGCCAAAAAATTTACAAAGGGAAACAGAGTGTTTGGAACTTACCTAAATAAATAGTGAGGTGTTTTCCGCCCTCCAACAACAATCTAATCACTACACAAGAATCCATGAGTTCAAACTTCCTCAAGAGGTGAACAATCCTTCCCTCGTCAAGGGTAAGATACTCCTGGTCATATCCCGTGATTACCACATGATCGTTCGTCTATAACAGAGGAAAAATTTGGGTGTCATCAGCCTCTAGCACTCCAAGAGAATCTCCTCGCCCGTTCACATGAGCAAACTTTTCCATCCAATATTTGTAGTGATTGGAAAGGGACGCAAATAAGGCCTTCCCCGACAGCCCACCTAAGGGAACATATCTATCCTTCACCGTCCTGGACGTGTAAAAGGGGGAAAGGACTCCTATAATTGGTGTAACATTCAAGTCCTTATAGACCATATCAAAGGCCCTGACCAAACCTCAACTATTAGGGAATAGTTGGGAGGGCGCGACGTTAAAAACCTTCAAAACCTCTATGGAAAAAAAGGAAAGGGAAAAGTGGACCCACATGTTCCTAATAAAAGGGGGGTAGAAATAAAAATAAGGAAGATAAGGATCATAGAAGACGGGCGTTGTCACCCTCTTTGACAATGAAAAAGCCTCCCGAATGACCTTGTCTTCATCTTCTAAAGAAACCTCCACTCCTGATCGAAAATGGAGGATCCGTTCATCAGAAATGTAGTAAAAAAGAGATCACCATCACCGTTGTAATCGTCAAAGGGGGCAACTATTACCCTAAAACAACTACAACATTACACTAACTAAAGCCCTATTTCAAACAATTCTTCATAAACCCTACCCACTACAGAAAAAACGAGAAAAGGGAAATTCATTATTGGAAGAAGGTTGTAAACGAAGAATCAGGGTTGATGAAAGGTTGAGCAATTCAGATAAGCCTAGAAAAATAGTGTAAATGAATTGAAAGGAAAAAACTTTTATAGGGGAACAAAACCATAAAGGACCTTTTAGACTCCCCCATAATTTTGATATGCGCAACATGCTTCTGACCCGTGTCGTTAGCGTTTAATATCTCGAAAAACATATCATCGTTACTTACATTAAATGAAAATAAGTCTGACTGTCTGAATTTTATTTTGCAAATTCGTGCACTTTAAATTATATGTTTTGGCCCTAGTCTCGATTTTTAGACCAAATAATCATGAATTTTGGCTCAAATTTTAAATTTTGAGAGAATACAAAAAAAACACCTTTTGCCCCGAAATCACTACTATATTATTATATTGAAGTTAATACTAGTATTTACTATCTAAAAATAGAATTGAAACAATAATTTAAAACAATATATAAAGTTATTACAAAAATTGAATTTTGAACTCGAACATCAATATTATATCAACTGTATTATTTATTACGAAACAATTTGAAGAGCAATAATGTACACATGTCATTATTTTATAAAATAAATTTTAATTTATTATAAATTTAATTTTAGTAAGAATTATAGGATAGAGGTGATAATTAAGTCTGTCAATGAACCGAACCAACTCGAAAATAATTTAGAATTTGGTTCGACAATTAAATCGTTGAACTAGGTTTATGAACCAAATAAGTTGAATATGAGCGAAAAACTAAGTTCGTTAACTAAATAAGCTGAACTTTAACTATACATAATTTGACTCATTAAGTCCATGAGTGAACTCAATTATATATGAGAAGAATTACATTGTATTTAAAAGTATGTTTAAAGATTTACTCCAAATCTTAGCCTTATATATTTTTTTTAATCTAACGGTAAAAAATATAGTATGGTATCACATATGACAACAAATGTTCTTGTCATTTGAATATCTATTGTGGCTTCGGAGTCAACCTTTATCTTCGAAGGGAGAGTTATTGATTCATTTTAAAAGTTGTGTAGTTTTATAATAATAGATTTTTTTTAGATAAAGTTAAATTCCAATTTGATAATTTTTATGTTATTTCAATATTTTTATTAGAAAAAAATATTAATTTAAAATGTTAAATATATTTAAAATATATATATACTTTTAAAATGATTTTAAATCTGTGAAACAATCGAGCTGAACCTAACGAGCTGAACCGAGTTGTTCGTGAATTTATAACAAGTCGAGTTTGAGTTTAAAAAAAAATTTGTGTCAAAATCGAACCGTAATTTGAAGTCATCCAATTTTTAATAAATCGAGTTAAGTAGAGTTCAACTCAACTCAACTCATTTACAACCCTAATAATAATAAATAGTTGAGATTTATCGTTGACTTCACTTTTTCCGATACTATAATTCATAAGAAAAAGAAACCTAAATTAAAGAAAATTTTCTTACAAACAAACAGTTATTGAAAACCATTGAACATAACTAATGAAAAACAAAACTAGTAATACCAAATTGAGAAATTACATTAAAACATAATCGATATATATTTTTAGAAAGAACTAGTAACACCCCTACATACCAGCACCATTTTTCATACCCGTTCATAGTGACTGACGCGGTTGTAATAATTCCTGATGTTGACTGGAAAAAAGAATATCACACTGTAGCACACTAAATATTCAATAGTGATTGGTGACCACTCTAAAGATATTCCCCTTTTTTAGGCCCTCAATAAATACAGTCTCCATTATATTTACAAATGCTATATAAATCCACAGCCATTACTGCGTTTATTCACCTCTCCAATACCACATATGCTGCACATCATTTGTTCACCATTCATACAAAACAATAAGTAACTCACTGGTGGTTTATGAGAGCCTTCTGCCAAGTATGACCAGAATCAGCATATTTACAGTGTTGTTAGTTGTCTTGGCCATGTTCTATTGTGTGTTCGATTATTTTACTGCAGAAATCATTCTTTACTTGGCCGTCGTTGCGGCAGTTGCGACCGCGACGATCATGTCTCTCCGTGCCACCATCGTGATATGGATCACGGTTTTGGTTCTGTTGAGCTTTGCAGGAAATCGTCGGAAGAGTTTGGTTCAACGAGGTAGACAAATAGTATTTGATGTAGTGTGGCACTTGGTTAGAGTCTCATTCAGATCACATAAACGGTGATGTTAGTTGTAGTTTAAATGTTGTGCATTTTTTTAGTTGTATTTTGATGGAGTTGGCCGTGCTCCTAAAAACTCGACAAATGTTTGAAGGAACTTTTGATTGATATTATTACTTATTCATGTTGCTCGGGATTTACAAAGATTGCGTGAATGTTAGAATGGATCAAAACTCAGTTGAATGGAGCCACATACTCCAAGCAACAACAAGATTCATGAAGTACTTGCAAAAAAATACTTTGGCTAGTAGAACACAATACTTGAAAAAAATAATAAAATTAAGTTGTACAATAATTTATAAAATAAAAATCTCAATCAAATATAATAAATAATGCCAAAAAAAAACTTTTTTCAAGGCCCAATAACAAACCAAAAATTAATTAAGGCCCGTTAATTATAGATTTAGGGTTTACTCTTCGTACCCCATGTGTTACTCACATATTTTGGTGAAATTTCAAAAAATAACTTTTAAATTTTAAATTTTAAAATTCAGACGCCGTCTAAAGTACACAATATTCACACCAAACATCTTAAAGTCGATGTTAAAAACAAAAATTTGAATTTTAACATCCAAAATTTTCCCTGATACTCCTACTTAAACACACCAATTCATTCAGGAAAATTTTGAAATATACTTTATTATTATAAACACATAAGCAATTTTAAAAAAGAGATCAAGAAAACACAAATTAACATAAATATTTGTCATCACATATACAAAACATGTGGCATTACATAAATATTTGTTAACATAAAATCTAACATCACATTTCGTGTTCCAGAGATGGTTGCTGACATTTTAACATTTTTAGAATATCATCGACCGATCTCACCACTATCACATTCACTTCGATCAAACCCTTTCTTTTGTAACAGTAAAACATACTCCACATAACTCTTAAATCTCCACCTGTCTTCAATTCAAAGTTACTGAACTTCATCTTTCCTTTGTTATCAATAGTCGTATAATCAGTTCGTTTTGGACAGGATTTTGGTCAAAAATTATTCGAACCGATGATACTTCCATCGGTTTGATTTGGTTCGGTTTTTAGTATTTTTCAAAAATAGAACCGAACTAAACAAACTAGTTTGCTTCGGTTTGGTGTAGTTAGGTTGATCGGTTTACAACATTTTTTTCTCCAAAATTATATTCATTTGTGTATTCTCCACTATTATATATAAAAATTGTCACTTGGTAGTGACTTATACAACTAAAATAAGTTCATCATTATATCAAATACAAAATACAATCAAGTTTGTTACTTCATCAACAAATAACACAATGTAACCAAAATATAACTTCAATTCCTTTCCTGATCTAATAGCTAATGCACCATCCTAAAATAAGTTGAAATAAACACATAGTTAGAATATAAAGCATTAAATTTATTTTCACTTTGAATAGGTCAAATTAAATTTAATATTAGATTTTTTTTATTCAAATCGTGTTATCACTCTATCATTATTAACCTTAACATTAGTCAGACACATTCTATCGATTTCTACAAATTAAAACATACCCACAAACTATACAAGATTAGTTTGACAATTTCATTAATAAAGTAAACAATATCAAAAAGATTTTAAATTTTCATACTTTCTGCAAGATGTTGCACTTTATCCTTTTGTTTTCATAAATTAATCACCTATTATTTTCTTTAAAAAAATTTCAATTGGGTAAATATAGCCATAAAAAAGAAAATAAAGAACTGAACTAAACCATTTCAGTTTTCATCGGTTTAATTCAATTTTTAAACCTAACCACAAAAATCATTTTTTTTATTTGGTTTGATTTAGATTGTCAGTTTAATTGGTTTTTTCTAACCCTTTTACATATCTAATTATCAATTGAGAATGAACAATACTCGATCTTAACAATGATTTGATTATCTAGGTAACCCAAGATATTATCCAATTTAGATTTGAGAAGTTAAAAAGTGGTATTTTCTATGATCCTAAATTTAAGAGGAGATCTCATGATGTTGAAGTAAACAAATGTGAAATATCAAATTGAGACATTATTTGGTGTGTGTGTATATAGTTACATCTATATAAGAGGCATATTTATACAAGATTTAGAAAAATAATGATTATACAAAAGCTATCCTAACACAGATATCATTATAAAGTTTGAAATCAAAAGTCAATTATGTACAATGAAATATTTGTTAGTGTATGATCCATATACTCTATTATTTCTTGAATTTAATACTTTTATTATTATGGTTATTATTAGAAATTAAAAGTGAGAAGAATACTCTTTTTAATGATTTTAATTAGTAAAATGAACATTTTTATGTGATTAATTATAAAAATTAATATTTACTTTACTTAATTTTAAATCATTTTATTTTATTTTAATTTATTAAAAAAATGAGATTAACAATTATTTGGAGTGGCTTAAATTTAGAAATTTTATTTGAGCACTACCACCTTTAACTAAAAAACTAATATCAAATTCATACTACTCATCTTATGAAATTTTTAAAGAAATAAATAGATCATCGTTTCATCTTACCATCAACATACTTTCATTTCTCTCTTTTCTGACCGTTGCGACTCCAACCAAGAGATACGGAATGTTTTGAGTTTTTTACTTGCACAAGTTATTTGTTAGACTAAGGATGTAATATGATATTTTCCCTTTTTTAGCAAATAAATATTTGCCATTTTTATTTTATTTTGGAATTTAGGGAATTGTTCCATATAAATGATGAGTAAGGGTGGATAGATACCCGCTATCCGCCTGAAACCGCATGAATCGGTGATAAAAAACAATAATGGGCGGGTGAAAACGGATTTGCGGGTAGAGTAAATTAATTTATTTAGTTTGGTGTGGTTTCAAACTGGCGGGTCGGTTTTATAAAATTCATCAATCACTAATCGAGTTCGCCCGAAGTTCAATACACTCTATTAATAACTCTAATTAATTCTGAGTTATTATGTGAGTAGACTATGAGAAAAGCATCGAAAAATTTTAAATTGTCCAACGCCTATCACAGTGGCTATAAATTAGGGATGGCAACGGGGCGGGGGCGAGTTTAACTATATCCACACCCGCACCCGCCTCCATGTAACACACCTGCGCCCGCTCTCAAATCCAATCAGGGGTAAAATTTTATCGCCCAGACCCGCTCCCAGTGGAGAACGGGTGCATCCGCACCCGCCCCGCACCCATCCGCAAAAAAATTAAAATTTTTTTAATTGCAATAAAAATTAATAATTTAATCAAAAAATTAATTAATTAAAATTTTAATTAGTAAATGAATATTAACTTAATTAATTTAATTATTTTAATTACAATAAGGGTATTAATAATATAATTAATAAATGAATATTAAAATAAGTAAAATAAGAGAATTAAACTAAAATGTATTATTCGGGAGTAGGGTACAGGCGGGTCTTAGTGTCTCTCCGCACCCGTAGTTAAGAATCAGATTTCCTTCGCATCCGCACTCAATTAAATCGGATTTTCCCCGTTAGCATCGGGGCGGGTCCGGGCGGGTGTGGTCGGGTTCAGGTTTGTTTGTCATCCCTACTATAAACTCTATGCCTAATTATCTATATATTTTTTAGAAATGTGTATATGTTATCATTATCATCATGTTAATTATAACTCAATTAGAATTGTTATCATTATCATTATATTTATTATAATTCAATTAGAATTAATTAATTTTCACAACCAAATTTCTCTCTCCTTACAAATAAACTAAACTATCTTTAAGTATTAGAAGAACATTGCAGAGATATTTTGAAAGAAAAAGGTGAACCGAAAATCCAAAAAATTCTTAAGAGAACAATTAGAGAGATATTTTAAAAGAAAAAGGTGAACAGAAAATCCAACAAATTCTTAAGATAACAATTACACAACATCACTACTCATTCCATCTTCTCCCTTCTTTCATCTTTTATATCTCTTTTTTCTAAATTTTTGTTTTCTTTTGGTATTTGATAGATCTAGAACAATTTCATTATTTATTTTTTTCAAATCTAAAGGGAGAAGACACTATAACTTAATGTTTTATTATTTTGTAAATCTAAAACAACTAATTAGTTTTCATTGTTTTAATCTTTGTTCATATTATTTTAGATTTAAATCTCATTGATAAGATTCAATTTGTTTCTTTTCGGTTGAAGAGATGTGAAGAGAGTATTACTATATTTTTTTAGATTATTGATTTTATTTTATTTTATTTTTCATCTTAATTTTATTTTTTAGTGTGTTTTTAAACCGATTCAACTCGCCCAACAACCCGACACCCGTTGAAACCGCCACCCGCCATAACCGATGATTGAAATTAGTGAAAATGTGTTGTATTTTTTCATTCGACGGTATTTTTGGGTGAGCGTTTAGGGACCGAAACCGCCTGATGTTCACCCCTAATGATGAGGTGTCTAAGTTTTTATAATTCCTTGCAATGATTGGATGACATGTATCCAACTTGCATTTAAATGGATCTGGATTGTGTGCCTTTAGGCCAGGAAAGGCACATGTCTTTGAGTCATTAGTGTCCATCAGATCAATTCAATACACATGATTCAGACGCCTATCCCAGATTTATTAATTATTCAAAAACCTTAATATCTTTAAAACACTACTGCATCGACCATTCATGCCGTCAAGCTTCCACCACCCGCCTTCCGTTGTCAATTTTCCGCCATCAACTTTCCACGTCGCTGGCTTGCATCACATTCAGTTTCACCCAAAACACACAAATCTCCATCTCATTCCTTTGAAAACTCTAATGAACATCAGTGTGGCAAGCATGAACGCACTCATGGAAACACTACGGCGGTAGGTGAAAGCGGCGTAGGGAGGGTAGATCGACGACACAAGAGGAGGAAACGATGAGTTTTCTGTGACTGTTTTGATGTGATTTTTTATTTTAAAATATGAACATTAGGACACTTGTTGGAATCGTGTGTATTGATCTGATCTAATAGCATTAATGACTCAAAGGCATGTGCCTTTCCCGCCACAAATATACACAATCCAAATCC